TGGAGTTTGTTTCAGCCCCTGTGGTAACACGTTCCAAACCCCAGGGTTGTCTGTAGGAATCAGAGGGAGCCCTGGCAGAATCTTTGGTGTTCTGGACGAGGTTGTAAACATGGCAGATGGTAGCTCCCTCTAGAACCTGAGTGGAGCTCAGACCCAGTGGGTTTTCTCCACGGCGGCGGCTATAGGTTTCAGTCTTTGGGGCTTGGACAGTAGACCCAGCAGGGTTCCTTGTTCATCGCAAGTGTTTGGGTTGAGAGTAGATGGGACAGATGGCCCCTCTTATCTCAGTCCTTGTCCCCGAAGTGGGCTGGTTGCTCTCGGGACAGCCAGTTTCCTGACCAGGGTGGGGAACAGGGCTGACGGGTGCTGTTAACCTTTGAGATGTCTGAGGTGGGGGGAGGACTGGATGAGGCAACCTATGGTGGCGCCTGAGTCCCGAGGAGGGAGGACCCTGGACCTGTGGCAGGCGAGGCGTGGCTGTGTTTGCGTTCCAGGGTTGCTGGGTTTAACTTGTGTGTCTCCCTGTGTGCCCTTTGCTTGCCCTTAGCCATCTGCATGAAAGCAGCTGTTTTCTGCCCAGTCTCCCTCTGCTGGGCCGCTGGGGAGGGGGCACACAGGCCTTGACCCACTGTGGGATTTTTGGGAGAGACGTCTCTATTTTTTTTAAAAGATTTTATTTGAGAGAACACGAAGGGGAGAGGGAGAGACAGACTACCCGCTGAGCCTGATGTAGGACTCGATCCCAGAACCCTGGGATCTCATGAGCTGAGCCATCCAGGTGCCTCGAGACATCCTCTTTATAAGAGCCTTGCAGAGAGGAGAGTGGGTTAGACTCCTCCTAGCCCACCTTCTACTCCTGTCCTCTGTGCCCCAGCAGTTGGGCACGGGTAACACAGTGGTCCCCACTGCTGTGGCTCCGTCTATACTGGCCTGGTTCCCCCCTGTGTTCCTGTCTGGAAAGGCCAGAATCTCGGGGACCCCTATTTCCCCAGCAGCACTCCTTTGTTATGGTATAGCCGGGCACCAATGGCCTCCTGTCCGTGCCCTGTCCTTAGAGCACCACGGGGTGTTTTGGAACAGTCCTGCCTCTCTGGCCCTCACGGTCAGCTTCATAAGCAAGAGACCAGAAATGGTACCATTGAGGCACTGAGCTTGGTCTGTCCTCTCTCTCCATTTCTCTTCATGTCCTTACATCTTCAGACAAAAATGGAAAATTCTGGGGTCTGGTCACCCACTGCCTTTGAGAACCCTGGGTGTGCAAGTCATTCAGGAGTCTCCGGTCTTCTAGAAGGGTCAGGACTGTTCATTCATGACCCAGGGTAATTAAATAACTCTTTGTAAAGAGGCAGGGAGCTTCTTGTTAAGTGGTCTTCCCTAATGCAAGTGCAAACACAAGCAAAATCCTTTCCTTTCTCAACAGCCCCCCCTTCCTTTTAAAGGGTAGGTTTTTATGCTTTAAGGGAAATGAGGAAGGGGAGGGGGAGAACAACCTTAAAGGAATTTTAGGCGGATTCAGCATTTTTCTGGGGTTGCTCCAGAAATTCCCTAAACTGTAATAAAAAGAAAAAATTGTGAGCAGGCATCTGATTAGTTGGCTTTTTACAACACAGCTTTTCTTTTGGATGCTTTAAAATGCACAAATACAGTTTTAAAACAAGCCCCTGTATAGTTTTCGGGAGGAGGCAGAGAAGTTGCTGAAAATACCGGAAAAGGTTGTAAAGCTGAGGGAAGTTAACAAGGGCCTGTGAGTCTTGCCTTTGGAGGATAAGTATCAGCATCCATGAGGAAAAGTCAAAGGCAGGCTTCTGAGGTTCTTCCTTAGTTCTTGGAATGAGGGACGCTTTTCTGTGTGAGAAAGCCTCCCCGCTTCTCCCTCTGAGGCCCGGGGAGCCCCTGTAGGAGCTAAACCTTTTGACCTTTGTGGGGAGATGGTTGTGGGCTGTGGCCCAGTTCAGGGAACTGTGCTTCTCTGAAGATGATGCTGAGTGTTTCCCAGAAATGAGCCCAAAATGGTGGGGAATTTGGGGCACATCTCTGAGTTGGCAATGTAGGATGTTGTCCCAGGCCCCCAGAAGTGTGATGTGTTAAAGAGGCCTTTGCTGGTGGGATGGTCTTGCTGGAAGGCATGGGTTTCTGTGTTCGGAGATAGCCCAGGAGCAGTGAGGAGAGGAGGTAGCTGGCTGCTGGGAGGCTGCGGTGGCCATGGGGCAGGCTTGGAGGGGCAGGGCTGGGAAGGAGCTGGCGAGGGTCCTAGGGCGGCTTAGGGCATCTAGTGGGCTTCCCAGGGTTTTGTTCATGCACAGGGACACCTATCACTGCTGGTGATCTGGGCTTGGCCATTAACCTCAACAGAAAAAAGTTTTTTTCCAGGGATGTCTGGTGGCAAATTGCTGGGTGGACCTGCGGGCTACGCAGATGAAAGAGAAATGTGCCAGAACTCTTCCCCCTCTCCCTCTCCCTCCCCTTCCCCCTTCCCTAGGGCTCTGGGCCACTCCAACCTCAGCCCCCACCCCCCACCGGCAGCTTCCCCTGCCCCCAGAGGCTGCTGGGCAGCCGGTGGGGGGCCCCCTACCCTTTCCTGGTGGGCCTGGCACAGGCAACTTGATCCAGGCCCCCACCCCACCCAACCCTACCCTGCACCTCCTACCCCTCCTCCTCTTCCCAGCTAGCTGGTGCCAGGTTTCAGGAGGGCTGAGCTCCATGAAACAAAGTATCTTGAGGCTCCACCCAGGGTCTCTGAACCTCCCTCCCAGCGATTCCCCCCCACCCCCGCCCATCTCCCCATCTTCTTTCCAGACCAGGTTTGTTGCCCCGAGTGGGGATAATAAGCATAAGCGAGTGGGGATAATAAGCATAAGCGAGAGTTTCTTACATTTCAAAACACCCTCCTCCCTAAAACAGCAGGGCGGTCGGGCCTTCCTCCCCAGCAAACTTGCACGCCAGAGAACTCTTACACAGATCTCACGGGTCTTTGGTACAGGCCCCCGAGCCCAGCTCCCTCGACAAGAAAGTTCAAAGATTGCCAGCACTCCGGAGTTTATTAGCAGTTGATGGATACTCTGCAGAAACAAGTTAATGCCTGATGAGTCACCTCTGCTTGGAGCCCTTGTCCCTCTCTTGTTTTTCCATATGTTCCAGAGTGTACGCACGCAAACACTCACACGCTCGCTCGCACTCATGGACTTACAGCCTCTCTCACACTGAGGCTTCATAGAACCACGGGTTAGGGAGTGACAGGCCAGTTTTCTGGGGTTGATTTTTGGAGGGGGGTACTGAGAGAGCAGGGAGCCCTCAGCTTCCCCATTTTGTCTGGCTGGCTGGGTAGGCGTTCGGGAAGGCCAGTTTGGGCGGGGAAGGTGTCTGTAGGAGACAGTGGCCACTCAGGGTGAGGGTGTGTGTGGCTGCCCCCGTGGGTCACAGTGCACGTTGTACAGACTTACTCACAGAACACCTCCATGCGAGACTGGCTACTGCTTTAAAAAAAAAAAAAAAAAGAAAGAAAGAAAAAAAGTTAATGGAGCTGACTGGTTCCCAGGTCCTAACATGCCTGTAAAGGTTGGAAGCAATTGTGTGCAGAGCTGCCCTGGGTTTTACCCAGCCTGCTGGGGCAGCAGGACACAGGTCCCTGAGCCCTCGTCCACCCCCAGCTGCCGTGCTCTATCGGCCTCGGCCATCCCACAGCCAGTCCCCACCTTCAGGCCCTGAACCCCCAGTGAGTGAGAAGCGGGGCTGCAGGGGAAGGCAGGAGGCCTCTGCCTTTCCCCATTTTTGTTAACAAATACAAGACTTCCGGTCTCCGCCCTGCCGCCGCAGACCACAGCGTTCCACAGCGTTCCTGCAGCCTGGCCTGGCTGGGGAGATTTATGGTTCCCAGTCTGAGGCCTGCCCCGTTGGCTCCAGCTTAAGGAGGAGTTGGAATGCCAGCCGCTGGGGCCTCCCTTTCCCTCCACAGGACCCCCCCCCCCAGCTCCTTTAAAGAGCTCTGGGTGTCTGTTTGGGAAAGTCACCTTACCAGAATCACCCCAGTCTTCTGGCTGCCTGTGGGAAGAACCAAGTTTAGGGAAGCTGGGGAGGGGGGACCTGGACGGGGGGCAGGGCAAGGTGTCTCCATGCTTCTGAGGAGGGAGGGGGGAGAGGGGGTTACAACAGGCAGAGGAAGGGCACTGGAGGGAAGGTCAGCCCATCCCAGACACATAATCTTCTGTCTGGGCTGGAGGAAGCTTCGTCAAGGTAGTCTGGGTTAACACCAATCCGTGTGTTGTGATTTGGCATTTTGACTGAATTCGCTCTTTGTGTACAGAGCTGCTGCTGACAGACACACTGAGAGCGCAGTCCTTTCTGTGAGGAAGATAGATGTTTGTGCCTCAAACCACCTGCACTTACATTTTATCAGATGGTGCTCCTTTATGACCGAGGTGCTGATCTGAGAAGTTGGTGACAAACACAGACACCGCCTAGTGGGGGGACCCTGGAGTCTGGAGACTTGGGTTCTGGGTCTGGCTGTGTCATCTGTGAGGCCCGAACAATAGGCCTTCTGGGTCCTGATTTTCTCCTGAGGAGGACCAGGGGCTCTTAAAGCCATAAGCTTTTCAGGTCCCATTGAATTTAAAGGGCTGTAACTCTAGGCCATCCGGAAGGCCTTTTCTTGCCCCCAAACTGGGACCAGTGGAGTTCCTGAGGGTTCCCTGGCTTCTGAGCTCTGCAGGGAAAGGGCTTCATTTGGCCCCACAGGCAAACATGCTGGTGTCCTGGGTCCCTGACCTGATTGTGGGGGGTGGGATGGGGTGTAGGGAGAGGGACAAGGTGCCCCAGGGAGCCCCGTGTTGAAAGGCGGGTTCTTCCATCCCTCGCCCCCATACGAGGACTCCAGAGCTGGCCGCATATGTACCCAGCACCACCACCATCCCTGATGAGAGCTGAGGTGGTCTTGGCTGTCGTGGAGGAAGAGGGAACTGTCAGCCCCCATCACCACCAACCATGTCCGCCATCTTGTTTTGCAGATTCCCAACTTCTTCTGGAGCCTGGGGATCGGTCACACTGGTGCGTGGTGGCATACTGGGAGGAGAAGACAAGAGTGGGGAGGCTCTACTGTGTCCAGGAGCCCTCCCTGGATATCTTCTATGATCTACCTCAGGGGAATGGCTTTTGCCTTGGACAGCTTAATTCGGACAACAAGAGTCAGCTGGTGCAGAAGGTGCGGAGCAAGATCGGCTGCGGCATCCAGCTCACGCGGGAGGTGGACGGCGTGTGGGTGTACAACCGCAGCAGTTACCCCATCTTCATCAAGTCAGCCACACTGGACAACCCGGACTCCAGGACGCTGCTGGTACACAAGGTGTTCCCCGGTTTCTCCATCAAGGCTTTCGACTATGAGAAGGCGTACAGCCTGCGGCGGCCCAACGACCACGAGTTCATGCAGCAGCCGTGGACCGGCTTCACCGTGCAGATCAGCTTTGTGAAGGGCTGGGGCCAGTGCTACACCCGCCAGTTCATCAGCAGCTGCCCGTGCTGGCTGGAGGTCATCTTCAACAGCCGGTAGCCGCACGGGCCGGGGACGCAGCGGGCGCCGCGCGGGCCCAGGCCAAACGACGTTGCTGCTAATACTTTCCTCCCGAGTGCTTGCTTTTCATGCAGACTCTTTGGTCCGTCGCGTGTCGTCGTCGTCGTTGTCCCCACCCCCGCCCCGCTTCTTGTCGTTCTTGTTTATGTTCTGTTTGTTTTGTTAACTTTGAGAAATAGCTTATGAAAAAAACGGTCAGGGTTTTTTTGCGGGGGGGGGACGGGGGTGGCGGGGTATGGCCGGCAGGACAGCCCAGGAGGAAGAAGGGAGGCAAGAATCCGTACCACCAGACGTAGTGTAAGATTGGGGAGCAGGCCCTCACGTGGGGGCCCTCGATTCCCTGGTCAGGGCGGACGCGTGGGCGAGTGCGTGTGCGTCTGTGGTTCGTACAGGTGTCCCTGCGGGGAGGTCTGTGCTCCCAGCTCTGTCTCTCCTGCCCTGTAGACATGCTCAGTGGGGCAGCGGCAGTGCCTGGGCCAGCTGGCAGCTGGGGTTCCAGCAGCTGCCAGGAGCCAGGCTCTGTCCCCCATCCCTGGAAAAGCCTCCCCCCATCCCCCACCCCTGCTGCTCCCCTTCTAGGACACGGGCCTGTCTGCAGGCTTCTTAGAAGCAACCCTGCAAAGAGGCTGAACCAGAACCAGTTGTTTCATGCTTGTCTTCCCCCCGCCCCCCCAGCCACCCTGCTGTCCTTGTGTCTTTTTTGGTCATCTGTTCCTGGATATCTCGGAGATGGGCTACCCGTGCAGTATTGCCCTCCCAGGGCCCCTCCCAAGCCCCTCAGCCTCTCCCTTGCCCTGGTCACATCAGGTCGTGTCCCCCACCCCGCCCCACCCCACCCACCCCAACTCAGAAAACCAGCTCAGCACTTTCCTCCCCTCTGCCGCCTATGTGTTGAGCTCTGCTGTTAGACCAGCAAGGGGAGCAGCCCTGGGAGGGAGACTTCTTGGCAACCCCCCTTCCACCAAGAAGGATTCGGTCCATCATAACCCAAGGTACCGCCCTGGGCTGGCACCTAACTCTTCTTTCATTTCTTCTACAACTCATACACTCGTATGATACGTTGACACTGCTCTTAGCTCAATGAGCATGTTTAGACTTTAACATAAGCTATTTTTCTAACTACAAAGGTTTAAATGAACAAGAGAAGCATTCTCATTGGAAATTTAGCATTGTAGTGCTTTGAGAGAGAAAGGACTCCTTAAAAAAAAAAAACCCTGAGATTTATTAAAGAAAAAATGTATTTTATGTTATATATAAATATATTATTACTTGTAAATATAAAGACGTTTTATAAGCATCATTATTTATGTATTGTGCAATGTGTATAAACAAGAAAAATAAAGAAAAGATGCACTTTGCTTTAATATAAATGCGAATAACATGCCAAATTAAAAAAAGATAAACACGAGATTGGTGTTCTTTTCTATGGGTGTTATCACCTGGCTGAATGTTTTTCTAAAGGAGTTTATGTTCCATTAAACAATTTTTAAAACGTATACTTGATTCCATGTCCTCCAGCTCCTTTTTCTTCTGGCGGGAGGGGAGTAGGAGGGGACGTCCATCGGAATCCAGGACAGTGGGGTCATCTTGGCCCAGTGCTTGGTTGGGGAGGAAGGGGAGGTGGGCCGCAAAAGGGACGTTCAGGACAGCCTGCTCAGCCACCATCTATTCCCATAGCTGCAAAGACCCCTCTTTTTGTTAGTACCCAGTGACTCTAGGCCGTTACTGGCCTGGTGTCCTGAATTTGTCAACTTCGGATCCCTGAGTTACAAAGTTGGGGGATAGTTTTTCAGCTCAAAACGATTGAGAGGCAATTTCATCTCGCTGATTGGGGAGGCGGTTGCACTGGGGGATGGGACAGGGAGGAACCTGGATCCCTCTGGTTTCTGGTTCTTACTTGACGTCAAACCCTAAGCCCCACTGCACCTTTCCCAGAGGAAGGTCACTGTCACTCTGGATTTCAAGACTGCTTTCCCTGAGGGCTAAGGACCTAGAGGGAAGGTTGATGGAGGTTGAGTGTTGACGGTGGGCAGAGAGATCATGCCACCTCCTACGTCTCTCCCAGGCTCTGTACCAGGCACTCTTGGAGTTGGCTGCAGCGAACCCGGTCAGGTCCTCTTATGCGATCTCTCCCTTGTCCGCCAGAGCTCTTCCTGTGACTGTTTCCTGTCTGATGGCTCGCCACAGTTCCAGTGGCACTTGCTGCTGAATCACCTCCCTGGATCTGCCCCTACCTCTGGGGTTTCTGCTGTTGGATCTAAGCCAGGTGTTGGATTCAAGGCCTCTGACACAAGTGGTCTGTCCAAACTGGGCACCAGACAGGGTTGTGTAGGTGTCTAGATCTTGAACCTAAGATCTAGGGGATGGGGAGGTCTCTTCGGAGTGGGGGTTAAGATGTTGGGTATCATGGGTGCCTGGGTGGCTCAGTTGGTTAAGCGTCTGCCTTTGGCTCAGGTCATGATCTCAGGGTCCTGGGACAGAGCCCTGCATTGGGCTCTGTTCATCAGGGAGTCTGCTGCTCCCTCTGTTCCTCCCACTGCTTGTGCTCTCTTGGTCTCTCAGAGAAAATCTTTAAAAAAAAAAATTTTTTTTTGGATACTGCAAACTGGTACAATTTCAAAAAACCTTTTTGGAGGGCCAAAGTAGGATTATCGATATTTTATTTTGCCAAATAATGACACAAAGCCCTACAGCCTACGGGCACTGCTGTCATTCAATAGAATTACTATACAGTTGTGTAGTGAGAAATACTAATGCATTCTCATTTATGCTTGAGCATGTCTGCCAAATGATCCGGACCGGCTTATTACACATGAGGTGATGGGGAGCTTACTACCTATCAAAGCAGCTTTTTGCTTTTTATTGGTTGAAGTGAAACCGCCTCCATTCTAGTTCTGCAACCCAGAATAAGTGCAAAATCCCATTGTCTGGAAAACACCCAAGGAGGGTTTTAATTAACTCTGGGGTGGTAGTGGTGGAGGAGGGGTGGAGGTGGGAGGTGTTACTTTAGGGAGCAGGCAAAGCCATTTTCGTTTACTCTTGACTTGCATCGGCCTGCAGGAAGCACTTTAATAATAATAATAATTGCCACTTACTGGATGCGTAACCAGGTGCCAGGCATGATGCTAAGCTAAGCATTTAAGGGAATTACTTAATCCCCACTAGGACCCCTCTGCAAAAATGTGGGTGTTGAGAAGTTAAAAGACTTGCCAAAGGTCACTTAGGGAGATGGCACTTGGAGAGCTCAGGATCTCACTCCAGGGTTGAGAGATCTTCGTCCTTGGTCCCTGCGGAGACCTCTATTTGATGGAATCCTGGTGGTGACAGCCCTGAAACTCAAGATCAGAAGAAGGTGGGCCACCACGATGCCCCCTGCCTGAACGGCAGGGCCTCTGATGCTGGAGGCAGAAAGCTGCCTTCTTGTGTTATCTGGACTCGGCTTGCAGCCCTGGGAGGCTGGAGTTGGGGTGGGGGCACATGGCCCCTGGAGGCATGGCTGGCTGCAATGCTTAGGGGAAGCCTGGGGGTTTGCTGGCCACCGTGGTCATCCCCTCCACCCAGTCCTCCCCTGAACGCCTTCCACATGCCAGGAGTACCAGGACTGCTGTGGGGGGCACCTTCCCTCAGGGGATTGCTGGAGGACAACACGCCCACCCAAGAGGGGAGTGAGGTCAGTACCCTGGACCACCTGGGCCTCCCAGAGGAGGCCGGGCTTCCAGAACAGCTGGGGTTTGGATTAATGGAGGGCAGTGAAGGTGCCCCCCACATTGGAAGAAAGCTTTCCTGTTGCCTGATTCTTCTCCTTTGTCTTTCAGCTCACGCCTCACATTTTGGGGTGCCTTGCAGGGTTCTGCCCTCTCCCTGGGCAGCCCCATCCCTCTGGCCGTATCTCCCCTCCCCCGTGGCTACCTCAGCCACAACCAGAAACCTGGGTTCTCTCATCTCCCTGGCCCTGGCTGCCATGTGAAATAACCAAATCCTGCCCTTCCTGCCTTATCCAATCTGTGATTAGAAAATGCAAATGTCTGGGACGCCTCGGTGGCTCAGTTGGGTGAGCAGCTGCCTTCAGCTCAGGTCATGATCCTGGGGTCCCAGGATCGAGTTCCACATCAGGCTCCCTGCTCAGCGGGGAGACTGCTTCTCTCTCTGCCTGCCACTTCCCCTGCTTGTGCTCTCTTTCTCTCTGACAAATAAGTAAAAATATTTTTTAAAAAATGCAAAATCTGTCACCCACATTCTTTTTCAGGCTCCACTCGTATGATTCAGTTCAGGGCCTTGGAGCGCCTCCGTGGTCTGCCTTCCTCTCGTCCCACTGGCTGGCCTTTTAGCATCAGCCCCTGCAGACCTCACCTTTTAACCTCCCCCCGCCAGTCCCTTGGCCCCAAGAGACTCAAACACACCTTGCTCCTGGCTTCCAAGCAAGTGCTCGCCAGCTTCTTCACTGGCCGTCTTTTCCTGCACCTTCAGGATGTAACTCAGACCATACCTCCTCCAGAAAGCCTTCCGCCTTTTAAAAATGCCTGCCCTAAAGAGCCATCCCGGGTGTAGGATTCTTTTTCCTCTACTGAACCCATGAGCTCTTGGCACTCTGAAGCCTTGGTTGGGGCCCCACTTAGGACCCACTATCCTAACAGCTCCTGACCCAATGCTAGACAGGGCTTGCCGCATGAATGAGGCAGGGGCAGGCAAAACTCCGGACTTAGCTTGGGCTAGGAATAGTAAGAATAACAATCAGCACTGATCCTGTCCTGACTATGTGCTAGGCAGTATCCCAAGCATTCCAAGCACATTAGAATGACCCCATATAATCCTTCCAACTGCCCTAAAAAGAAATGCCATTATTAGCCCCATTCTACAGATGAAGGAACTGAGGTTCAAAGAGTCGCCCAAACCCCCTGCCCCCCGCCGGTAAGTGGTAGTGTCAGACTTCACCAATTCTCTGCTATCTGATCTCTAGGGGCAGGCCTGGGTCATGGGGTGACTGCGTTGGGCATGTTTTTTTGTAAAACAAGTTCTGGTTTGGAAGGACCGAACTGATCTGATCACCCTTGAGCCCAGAACGCGTAGCCTCCCCCGCGGGTCACTCGGGTCCCACACTCCGCCTGCCGAGGGGCTTTCTGTCAGTGAGCTTGTTGGCAGAAAACAGCCGAAGCCTGGCTCCTGAATGAGTGAGCGTGGGGGCA